GGGGGCACGGCCGGGCGGGGGGCCCCCCCCCCCCCCAGTGCACAAATTTTTGTGCACCGGGCCTCTAGTATTTTATAATTGTGGACATTTGCCATATTTTTTTAAGGAAATAAAACAGGTTACACAGTTGACATCCATTTCCTTTTTCTGCTTCCACCCCCACCTCCCTTTTCAGAGGTAATCATTGTCCTGGAGTTAGTGTTTATTATTGTGACCCATTGTGATGAGTCTGCAATTGCCTACAACAAAAACTTTACTATTTAACTGTAAGAAACCAACAGCATTTTTGGAGATGGTTTAAGAAGAATGTCATCCAAATTTCTAGCAATTAAGGAAGTTCAGTGCTTAGATTGAATAGAGATTGTTTTTAGTATAAGGTATGTTTTGACAAGCCTTTTTGTTTGTTTCTTCAGTGCCTGAATTTTTTTTTAATTTCCTGAATTTTAACATAAATTATGTGATCGAAAGTAATTATTGAGAAACTTTACAATTCAGTCCCATGTTTTCTGGTGAGAAAAACAGATTGAACAGTGAAGAGCATGAGGTTGAAAGAAGATGTTTGAATTCTGTTTTAGCCTTGGCACCATGCGTTTTTTATTTTGGTAATGTAGTCCTATATCTGCAATGTAAAAATCACACCAGTAGCATAAGAATTAGATAATATTTATAGTACTATTCCTCCAAAGAATTGATACGTAATTTATGAAAAGAATATTGGCACATTTGATTTTCACTTTAGTCATTGCTATGAGTTTATTAATATAACCTAAACTTCCAATTTCAGTGCTCATGATTTCCACTTAAATATTATTGCTGAAAATTTACTGCAGTTTCTATTAACTTTTAGACCTCTATTTTCGGTATACCTTTGTGTATGATTTTTATGGAGAATGTCAGAAAGAATCATTAAGACCTAACTGGTTTGGCCCTGACTGGTTTGGCTCATCCGCCTGCGGACTGAAGGGTCCCAGGATCGATTCCAGTCAAGGGCATGTACCTTGGTTGCGGGCACATGCCCAGTAGGGGGTGTGCAGGAGGCAGCTGATCGATGTTTCTCTCTCTTCGATGTTTCTAACTCTCTATCCTTCTCCCTTCCTCTCTGTAAAAAAATCAATAAAAATATATTAAAAAAAAAAAAAAGACCT